TATGGAAATTATGCACGTCTTTTTCTTTTCTTCCTATGTTGAAAATTCTGGTTGCTATGGAAACAAAGACTGAAAATATGGCAAATTTTACACAAAACCTGGATCCAGTGATAACGCAAATATTACTGAAAATATTTTTATGAAACTTGACATATTGGTAGATGGCAGTATGGAAATTATGCACATTCTTTTCTTATCTTCCTGTATTGAAAATTCTGGTTGCTATCGCAACAAATAGACTGAATTTCAAGATTTCTGATTCTAGTTTTTCAGTTTTTGTGTCGCCTTGAAAAAGGTGACATATAGGGGTTACTTTTGTCGGCGTCGTTGTCGGCGTCCCCTTAAGCTTGTCCGGAGCATAAGTCAGTCATTATAAGTTGGATTGACTTCAAACTTGGTATGCATGCTTCTTATAATGACCCGAAGTGCAGTGCATAAGAACCGGTACTCTGCACTTTCTATTTTTTGAGTTATTGCCCTTTGTTAATTTTCATACTTCATTTTTGTCCGGGCCATTTCTCTTAAAGTATAAAAGCTATGGACTTGAAACTTCATAGGATGATAGATCTCATGTAAAAGAAGTGCGGTGCACAAGAACTGGTACTCTGCATTTTTTATTTTTTGAGTTATTGCCCTTTATTTATTTTCATACTTTATTATTGTCCGGGCCATTTCTCCTAAAGTATAAAAGCTATGGACATGAAACTTCATAGGATGATAATCCTCATTAAGAAGAAGTGCAGTGCATAAGAACTGGTACCCTGCATTTCTTATTTTTTGAGTTATTGCCCTTTGTTTATTTTCATACTTTATTTTTGTCCAGGCCATTTCTCAATAATTGTAAAAGCTTTAGACTTGAAACTTAAAAGGATGATAGATCTTTTTGATAAGAAGTGCAGTGCACAGAAACTGTTGCTCTGCATTTCTTATTTTTTGAGTTATTGCCCTTTGTTGATTTTCAAATTTCATTTTTGTCCAGGCCATTTCTCCTAAACTACATTGTTCACAAGGCGACACATCCGACTTGCGGAGTTCTAGTTTCACTATAAGTTCTTTATTTCTTAAGGTATTTTCTTCAAACTTTAAATATAAGTTGCTAGTCATCAACCACATCATATGTGACAAAGTTTACAACTTTAGCACAAAATTTATCAGAATTACCTCCCTGGAACTCAAAATTTTCATAAAAAACATTGTTTTTTTAATAACTTCTTTTTTTCTGAATGTATCTACTTCAAACTTCATATAAATGTTTCTTATTATCTCTCAACATTTGTGAGTGTTCAATACTCTAGCAAGACTATTTCCAGAATTATGCCATTTTTGAACTTGACGTTTTTAGCTCACCTGTCACAAAGTGACAGGGTGAGCTTTTGTGATCGCTTTTCGTCCGGCGTCCGTCGTCCGTCGTCCGTAAACTTTTACTTTAAATGACATCTCCTCATAAACCACAAGGCCAATTTCATCCAAACTTCACAGGAATGTTCCTTTGGTGGTCACCTTTAAAAATTGTTCAAAGAATTTAATTCCATGCAGAACTCTGGTTGCCATGGCAACCGAAAGAAAAAACTTTAAATATCTTCTTTTAAAGAACCATAAGAGCTAGAGCTTAGATATTTGGCATGAAACATCTTCTAGTGAGTGTCTACCAAGTTTGTTCAAACAAAAGCCCTGGGATCAAAATTGGCCCCGCCCCGGGGGGTCATTGATTTTCCCTATATGCATATAGTAAAAACTTAAAAAATCTTCTTTTAAAGAACTGAAAGAGCTATGGCTAAGATATTGAGCATCAAACATGTTCTTATAGGTGTCTACCAAGTTTGTTCAAAGAATGGCCCTGGGGTCAAAATTGGCCCCGCCCCAGGGGGTCATTGATTTTCCCTATATGCATATAGTAAAAACTTAAAAATCGTCTTTAAAAGAACCAAAAGAGTTAGAGCTTAGATATTTAGCATTAAACATGTTCTAATAAGTGTCTACCAAGTTTGTTCAAATAAAAGCCCTTGGGTCAAAATTGACCCCGCCCCGGGGGGTCATTGATTTTCCCTATATATGCATATAGTAAAAACTTAAAAAATCTTCTTTTAAAGAACTCAAAGAGCTATGGTTAAGATATTTAGCATCAAACATGTTCTAATAGGTGTCTACCAAGTTTGTTCAAATAAAAGCCCTGGGGTCAAAATTGGCCCCGCCCGGGGGTCATTGATTTTCCTTATATGTGTATAGCAAAAACTTAAAAAATCTTTTTTGAAAAAACCCAAATAGCTAGAGTTAAGATATTAAGCATGAAACATCTTTTAGTGAGTGTCTACAAAGTTTGTTCAAATAAAAGACCTGGGGTCAAAATTGGCCCCGCCCCGGGGTCATTGATTTTCCTTATATGTGTATAGCAAAAACTTAAAATCTTCTTTGAAAAAACCCAAATAGCTAGAGTTTAGATATTGAGCATGAGACATATTCTAGTAAGTGTCTACAAAGTTTGTTCAAATAAAAACCCTGGGGTCATAACTGGCCCGGCCCCAGGGGTGTCATTGTTTTTTAACTATATGTGTATCTTCTTTTAAATAGCCCAATGAGCTAGAGCTTAGATGTTAAGCATGAAACATCTTCTTATGGGTGGCTACCAAGTTTGTGCAAATAAAAGCCCTTTGGTTAAATTGGCCCTGCAACGTTGGAGGGGGGGGGGGGTTGGGGGGGGCCTATATACAGGTGAGCGACCTCAGGGCCATCATGGCCCTCTTGTTTTGAGAAATTGGTAATTTTCTTCAATAATGATAGGATTTTCTTCAAACTCCCACATCATAATAATATGACAATAATATGACAAGGTTTATAAATCTAGCATCAATATTTCCAGAATTATCTCCTCCTTAAACTTTTTATTTTTCCTATTCGTTCTTTTAACTTTCATTTACTTCAAATTCAAAATAAACATTCAATATTCATACCTTCATTACTAATTATTTTTTGTAACACATCATGTATGACGTCGTTATGTCCTTTTTTAAAAAATTTGCTTTAAAAATGTTATATTTTGATAACAGGGATGTTTAAAAAATAACTTTAGAGTGTCCTTTCACGGTCCGTCATTTCTATAATAAGATGTAGATGGGAAAAAAAATTAAAAGGTGCCATGTTTGATTGTCTAAAATCCGTACTACTAGGTATACAAATAGGTATGGCTAACTGCTAGACGCGGTAATACGGACTTTACAATACAATATCTTTATACCTAAAAAAATGTTTTATCTCAAGAAAAATGTTAATAAACAATTGTTCCCAATTATAAAGTAGAAATATCGTTTGTCTTTTGCATCTTTTAAAGGCATAAGATATGTACCAATAAAACAATTAGAATATATATTTTTTTATTTTTACAGATAAGCAAATATAGTATAAGTACTGCATACAAAAAGTCAAACATGGACCATCTATCCTTTTCAGCAAGTATCGAAATGGTAAATATTTTGTTATCCCCCGCCAAAAAATTTCGGCGGGGGATATAGAAATAGTCTCCGTCCGTCCGTCCGTCCGACCTTCCGTCCGAAATTTTTGTCCGGAGCATATCTCTAAAAGTATTTGAGTTATCAACTTGAAACTTCATAGGTGGATAGACCTCATTGAGGAGGAGTGCAGTGCACAAGAATGGTAACTCTACCTTGCATGAATTTTGAGTTATTGCCCTTTGTTATTTTTCAAAATTGACTTCCTTCCGTCCGAAATTTTAGTCCGGAGCATATCTCTAAAAGTATTTGAGTTATCAACTTGAAACTTCATAGGTGGATAGACCTCATTGAGGAGGAGTGCAGTGCACAAGAATGGTAACTCTACCTTGCATGATTTTTGAGTTATTGCCCTTTGTTATTTTTCAAAATTGATTTTTGTCCAGAGCATAACTCTAAAAGCCTATGAGATATTAACATGAAACTTCATAGGTGTATAGATTTCACTCAGGAGGTGTGCAGTGCACAAGAATGATAACTCTTCCTTTCATAATTTTTGAGTTATTGCCCTTTGTTATTTTTCATACCTAATTTTTCACCAGTCCTGAGTGGAGCATAACTCAAAAAGTGTTTGAGATATCAACATGAAATGTCATAGAAGGATAGATCTTATTGAGGAGGAATGTTGTGTGCAAGAATGATAACTCTTCCCTATACAATTTTTGAGTTATTGCCCTTTGTTGTTTTTTTCATGCTATTTTGTCCGGAGCTTATCTCAAAAAGTATTTGAGTTATCAACTTGAAACTTCATAGGTGGATGGATCTCATTCAGGAGGAGTGCAGTGCTAAAGAATGATAACTCTACCCTGCATTATTTTTGAGTTATTGCCCTTAATTAATTTTTGTCCAGAGCATAACTCAAAAAGCCTTTGAGATATCAAAATGAAACTTCATAGTTGCATAGATCTCACTCAGGAGGTGTGCACTGCACGAAAATGATAACTGTACCTTTTACAATTTTTGAGTTATTGCCCTTTGTTATTTTTCATACTTAATTTTTCAATTCAATTTTTTTCTCAAAAAGTATTTGAGGTATCAACTTGAAACTTCATAGGTGGATAGATTTTACTGAGGAGGGATGCAGCACACAAGAATGATAACCTACCCTGCATTATTTTTCAGTTATTGCCCTTTGTTATTTTCAGCCATCAGTATTCACATAGGTTTCAAATCTGTTATCACTATAGCCATCAGTTTTCATTACCAAAAGACCTCTTAAAATGGAATTATTCTGCTCTACTACATATACATTCTTCCAATGAGCAAACACATTCGGTGGGGGATGGCCATGTTGACATGGCTCTTGTTTGTAATTATTATTCATTAGACAGCACGTTTTCTGTTTGCCTTAATAATTATTTTTAATACTAAATTTAAAAAAGAATAGTCATGGACCTTAAGCTATGTTCCCGATGGGACAAAAATAATCTAACTGTCCAAATGTTTAAATGTTTCCAACATATATGGGTACTGTTATGTTAATTGCAAAAAGTAATTGTTTTAAGAAGATTATATACATACTGTAAAAGTGAATCTTCTTATCAAGGGTCAAGAAGTGGAGATAGAGCTGCCAATTGCAAGTGATGCCCCGGCAGAGTGTACAGCTGTGGAAATTATTGACACACAAGTAATTCTTTAAATTGGACTCTAGTTGAAAATACTAAACAGTGCATTTCTTTATTAAACAATTCAAAACACTAAAATTATACACATTCTCCATAGCTATATAATTATGTAACTGATCAAGTGGGATAAATTTTATCCTTTTTTTAACAACTCTGATTAATATCTTATGCATAAGTCTTACATAATTATATACTTTGATATAAAATCATTTCAAATTGAAAAATTAAAAATTATGCAACTACATAGACATACATTTTTAACATCTTTTGATCATATTTTATAAAAATTGTAAATATGTATTTTAACACACAAACTATTTTCTAGACAGAAGACTGCACAAATGGTGACAGCAAAAAAAATGCAAACCACCACACTGGAGCCATAAGTTTAGATTACATAACAGATAAGAGGGCTCGCCAGAAGTGTTTCTCCAAAAGGATGAAGACATTTAAGTCTCAGGTGAGTACTCAGAACACTATTCAATATCATCTATCAACATGTAATAGAAATAGAAATATTCTTCTTTGCATTTACCCTTTACAGTTTTTGTAAATAACTCTTCCATAATTTTTGCTTCTTTCAGAGGTTTTAAGTCCAGCATTTGGAGAATTTTTTTATGTATTTCAGCTTTAGATTGGGTGTGGATCGATTGTTTTTCATTCTTCTCCTCTTCAGTTATATAAATTATTTCTTTCTTGTAAACACTTTATTCCTGTGAAATAAATTCCTGCAGATACATATCTTTGATAGCTTCACTCTGTGAAGTGAAATTTTTCAAATCATCACACAATTTAATGTTCCCATTTAAGCTTGAATGTGGCTGATTTTTTTGCTTAGGATTTAGCAAATATTTCCTGCTCCTTAACATTTCCCTCATGGGTACAATTTCATTGTTTTCTACTTTTTGTTCTTGATTGTTTTTTCAATTTGCAACACCAGATGATGTATCCAGAATCTTCTTTTTTACCTTGAAGAAAAATAAGTATTGAACAAACATAAATTTCATATTTTTGCAGGCAATTGCTTTGCATAGAATGTGTGGAGCACAAGTCTCCTTAACAGTTGTGGCAGAAAGTGGCAAAAAAACCACTCTTTCTCTGCCACAAGTCCTGTCAAGGCATGTGAAGTTACAAGCAGGGGAAAGTTCATTCTCAAAGCATACGAGACAGATGTCTTCCCCTCCGCCACCACAGTCGCATTCCCCCAAGAAGACAAAAGTTATTAACCATATGCCAGGCAAAAAGACCACAGGAAAGAAAAAGCATATTAGTATTAAAGAAAGAATTTGTAATAAATTGTCAGTATGCTTTGTAATATTTAATTATAAGAAAGATCAACTATTCAAAAAGAAACATGGAATAAATGCTGTCTGGCTGGGGTGTGACCATGATGGCTGTCACTACTGAGCGCATGCTGTATGTGCTGGTCAGAAGATAATTAGTATGAAAAATATTCCAACTATGAAATTTCTCTGTCCAGCACATCAGTAGTGTCAAGTAGTGACAGCTTTGTTTCAGACACAGAAATTGAGTTTAATGTTTATCTAATTTAGATTTTTATTTTTCTATTTAAGTACATGTCCTTAATTAATTAATTAATTTATTTATGTATTTATTTATTTATTTACTTGTTATATTTATTTATTTATTTATGAATTTATTTATTATAAATCTCTCAAATCTTATCTGTTTATAGTACATTTATAAATTCAATTTCATTACACAATTTTGAATTGTTTTCACAAAGTTTACTTATTTATATTTGTTTGCTTGAATTTGTTTTTGATTCATTAAAAATTTACTACTGAATATTTGTTTTTGTTGAGATTATCAAAAGGCCAAAATATGATCATTTAATAGTAAGTAAGTAATTCAAAAATAGCATACTGTCATCAAATTATCAAGATTTCGAAAGACTCTTAGCCATTCTTTATCAGATGGAATTCCTTTTGGTGAGATCCAACATTTGGCCTCTTTGTTAATTTCTTCAAGACATGCATCACCACCCTGGTAATGTCCAGTGTTTCCTGTTCTACTTAGAGTTAAAGAGGACTTCACTATATCTTTCAGTTCGTCAGTCATCATTACCTCAATATATCTACTTTGTGAAATGATCCTTTGATAACGGGGGTGGTTCCTGGGAAAAAATAAATGTTACATCTTTTCACGCCCTGCAACTATAGCATCTGCATTACCCCTACGACATCCAACTCTAAACAGTATCATACTATGAAGATAGGTAAAAACCATCTGCTGTATAAACATATAATTTGGGTCTTCAATATCTGATGCCCATAACCAGTACCCTTCTACAGATGGTTCAATATTTGAAATTTTACATTCCTCTTCATACGGTACAAGTAGCTCATCAGCTGCGGCAAGATAGAATATTTCTAGTATCTTCCAGCTTTTGTGGTGATCACCACAACTTTTTGCATAATCTAATGCTTTTAGTGAATTATAACCAAGTTTCGTGCAAAAGTCTTTAAGAACAACATCCCATGTTATTTCAAAGAATACTTTGCATGCGATCATTTCAATATGAAGAGGTCCAGGTAGTGGTACAAGCTACCCATATTGGTGCTGAGGCTGAATGTTATGCAGTATGCTACATCGATGTTCTTAAAAGTTGTCATAACAATAAAAACCTTCATCACATTGTGTACAGTGATAAACATTAAATATAAGTTTATCTACTATTGAATATATACCTCCATCACATTCTAAAAATAACCATTTTCTACCAGACTCTCTGTCATTAGTAAGTCCTGCTCTCTCTGATACATTTGTCAAAATTTTTGCAACATTTTCAAAACTCACAGGATTGCATAGATCTGGCTCACCTGTTTTAACAGAGAAGTTATGTGTTTCAGTTTCAATGCTTGAAAAAAAAAAAGAATATGGATTTAAATTGTTTTTCTTATCATATATATCAGAACAATTGTGGCATTCATGGACCAATGGTCCTTTACAATTAGTACATTTTCGACCTGTGAATTCGTTTTCAGCCCCACGGTGCAAGCAGACCTTTTCCAGACATGCTTTTCTACTTAAAACCGAATCAATAATATCAAAACTTCCATTTGAATGTTCAAGTTCAACAGACACAAGGTACCTTGATATCAAATTGTTCCTAGTAACTCTTAATACATTGACACAGTTTTCATCTTCACTTAAAAATAAAGCCTTTTGAAGGTCATTGGGTTTATCAAAAAGCCAATTACTTGGAGCAAACTTTTCATCATTTTGTATTGTACTTTCTGGGTCAATACAAATAAACAGGCGGCTTGTAACAATACTTGTGGGGACTTTACTGTTGTGCTTGTGGTATTTTCAGTTTCAATTTTTCGGCATTTTCTAGTTGGGTGGTTCCAATATTCCTACTTGAATTATGTTGAATCACCCTTAGGATATGTTGCCTGCTTTTTAAATTTGTCTTTTGACGTCTTATCTGTGATACGCAGGCTTCATAACCTCTGATCCCCTTTCAAAATTCCATTTTATTTAGTTCCGCCCATTGTTTTCTCGTTTAGGGCACACACATTTTTTTAATTGGGGACCATACGCCGCTTTTCATGGAATGGCACTACTGTGTCACATTGAAGGTTCCATGATAACCGCCGTATGAACACATCTGCGGATGTTTCTAAATTCAAAATTTTACTATTTCATGTTTAAATGTTGAATTCTGCTTAAGCCGGTGCTAGGGGGCGTGGACGGTAACTTGCACTTTCCAGTACCGTCCATGAACAGGCTCAATCAAACCGAGCCTGCAACATTTTCAATTTTGTCGTGTTGGGCTTTCTTTAGGGATTCTGTATTTATCTATTTTATGATCACATCCGTGTTATTTGTGCCGTGTGGCGGCTGTAAAAAGTCTCCCCGTACATTTAATCAATGATGTTATATTTTCGATCCTTGAAGATCGTTCAGCACGACATTATTGTTGTGCTTGTGGTATTTTCAGTTTCAATTTTTCGGCATTTTCTAGTTGGGTGGTTCCAATATTCCTACTTGAATAATGTTGAATCACCCTTAGGATATGTTGCCTGCTTTTTAAATTTGTCTTTTGACGTCTTATCTGTGATACGCAGGCTTCATAACCTCTGATCCCCTTTCAAAATTCCATTTTATTTAGTTCCGCCCATTGTTTTCTCGTTTAGGGCACACACATTTTTTTAATTGGGGACCATACGCCGCTTTTCATGGAATGGCACTGCTGTGTCACATTGAAGGTTCCATGATAACCGCCGTATGAACACATCTGCGGATGTTTCTAAATTCAAAATTTTACTATTTCATGTTTAAATGTTGAATTCTGCTTAAGCCGGTGCTAGGGGGCGTGGACGGTAACTTGCACTTTCCAGTACCGTCCATGAACAGGCTCAATCAAACCGAGCCTGCAACATTTTCAATTTTGTCGTGTTGGGCTTTCTTTAGGGATTCTGTATTTATCTATTTTACTGTCTGCTTTAATTCTATAAGTTTTTTCCAATCACTTGTTCATTGTCAAACACAGTTCTAACTAAACCTTTTGGAAACTCCACTGGAGTGCTAGCTTCATCTGCAAGCCATTTTGATATAGTATCACTACTTCCAGCTGGAGATACTTGAGTTATGTGTCAGCAGCTGCTTATTTCTAGAAATTGAATAAATTAAAAGGTTCTCCTGGAATGCCAATGGAAGTACTAGCTTAGAATTTCTACAGCCATATATCAATTCCACAATCTTAGCTAATTTGAACTGATTCTCATTTGTGATGTTTCTATCTAAACCACACAATTCTCGTAAGAGACCAACAAGTGCTTTATGTCGTTCTATGAGCAATTTCTCAGGGTCATAACCAAGTTAATTAGCTAAACTGCATTTGTCCCTGTTGTTGTATAACTGTGAAATATCAGATTCAATTAAGTCTCTTAAAGATTTAGCAGTGTCAATACGAGATTTGTAATCACTGATGTCCTCATCATATTATGCTGCTGAAATTGTGTTTTCTTCAGGCTGTGATACAACATAGGATTTTGCACTAGTATTTTGTTCAGCCTTAAGAACACAAGAATGGCAAATATACTTAGTTCTCTTTGAAATTATGTGTTTTTCAAAAAGGAAATCCAAAGTTGAACGTTTTATTTTTTCCCCTTTTCTATATTGTATAATTTAGAAGAGGTAGGTTCTGAGTCATTATGTGTTTATGCACCACAAGATTTTTTAAATGTCCCTCTTGAATCTCTTTCAAAGATCTACTGTCTTGTTTTTGGCATAACTCAGCTGAATAGGCATCACCTTAAAAGAAGATAATAAATTAATAGATATTCATGTTGTAAAATAGTGAGACATTATTACGTCACATTAGTATTTTCTACAAATCACAACAGTCATACAGTTGTAAATCATTACAGTTACCATTTTTTTAAAAAAAAAATCATCAGTTTAAAATACCTTATAACATCTGTTAAGAAAACAGTACATAAACATTATAGTTCAAGTTTTATTTGAAAAAGAAGAAATTATTCTTCAGTTCATTCCAATATCAAAAAATGACTGCAAGGCATTTGATAAGTATTGAATGGTCAATTAAAGGCTATCATGTGAACAGACTCAAACCACATAACAGCATGTATCTGAACCAGAACCAACTAACCGGTTTGACAGACATGCTTTTAAAGTTTTGATGCCTGGAATTAATCAGCTGCCTGACAATTTAAGACACATGATGCAATGGCAACAAGTAGCAGGAAGACAAGTTGATCATGTTCCTGCCAACCTGAGCAGGGTTTTTAAACAATTAATTGACTTATTGATGATAACAATATCTAATGTTAAGTGTACTTACATAGGGTCAGTTAGACTTTCAGCGTTAGTTACGATGAAACAAACTTTTTCCAGCCGTGACTGTCCTGGCGGTGGTGCTGAGCTACGAGCCAAATATAGCGAATATAGCGTGTCCCAGAAGTATGGTTCAGGGAGGCAATGTGTGTCTTCGAAGGAATTTTAAGTAAATGCTGATGAACTTAATATGATTGCTTACTAAAGCTTAATATAAAATACTTCATATAGTTGTTTTAATGACAAAATAAAATTAAAATAAAGCAACATCATTGTCACTTCATTTGGAGACTTCCTGTAATATTTTGTACTCACCTTAGATCTGTCACCCAATCTGGAGACTGTAACCTCAATTTGAGAGAGTCTCCCGATTAGGAGACACAATAATAATCTGTATAACAATGAAAATACTTTATAGAATGAGTCGCCCGAATTGGAGACATTCACAAAATGTGAGATTGTCTCCAAATATGTGAATCTTCCTTAGCTGCAAGAGTAAATGTCGAAGTTGCCTTTACATTAACAGCATGTTTGTTCGCTTTTTGCATGCGATTTAAGGGCAGTTTCACCCATATTTCTAA